TTTTGGTGTATCTGCGTAGGTATGGCAGTTTTAAATGTTCTGTAGTTTGGAAACTCGATTTACATTCATTGCCAGTCATAGTTTGTTTCCGACAGACAGTGACTAATGCTAGATTTGAATATGTGGCGTCTAACAATAGGTACTGTCTATCTTGGAATATAAGCTGTTGCATAGTTGTTTTCCAAGCTCTTTTATTTTCCTTGATCCTTTTATTCATTCATTTAATCAGTATTTATTGTCTGTAACATGCAGTGCTCTGTGACAGGCGCTGAAGAGGATACAAAAGTAAATAAGACATTGTCCTCATTCTCAAAGAATGTTCAGTCAGGTATTAGTAGCTTATAGCTGTTCCTCTAGGGGAAGCCAGGTGGCGCAGTGGATAGAATGCCGGGCCTGAAGTCAAGACTCATCTTCTCGACTTCAAATCTGGCCTCAGATACTTACTAGATGTGTGACTCTGGGCAAGTCACTTAACCCTGTTTGCCTCAGTTTCCTCATCTATAAAATGAGCTGGAGAAGGAAATGGCCAACCACTTAAGTATCTCTGTCAAGAAAACCCCAGATGGGGTCACAAAGTTGGACATGACTGGAATGACTAAACAATAACAAATCATTTCCTCTATTTCTCCCTGCCTTTCACAGCTAAACTCATTTTTTAATAGAAAACCTTTTACATTCACTGCCTACACTTCTTCACTACCCACTCTCTTCTTAACTCCTTGCAAACTTGCTTCCTACCCCACCCTACAGTGAACCTGCTCTCTCAAAGGATGCCAGTTATCTCTTCATTATTAAACCTCCGTGGCCTTCTCTCTCTGCTCAATCTCCTTTGCTTTCCTGTAGCTTTTTACTCAGTCTTTCTCTTTTAGATACTCTTTCTTTCTTGGTTTCCTAGATGTCTTTCCTAAAGTATCTCCTTGTTCTCCACCTACCCATCAGACTGTACCCTCTCAGTCTCCTAGGTTGGCTCCTTATCCCTCTCCTTCCCCCTAAATGTGAGGGAACTCACAAAACTCTTTCTTCAAGGTTCATTTTACATTCTTTGTGTCCTTGTGATCTTACCTACTCATGTGTTCAACTCTCAGCTCTCCTCAATGATTTTCAATGTTTAGCCCTGATCTTTCTCCTGAAACCAGGCCTGTACTCTACCTGGTTATTTTCTGCTACCTCAGAAATCAGCATGTCTAAGAGGGAACTCAACCTTCCTAAATCTTCCCATTTCATAGTCTTCTCATCCTCTCTTTGATATTTCTAGACACTTAGACTTATGTTTGACTGTCAGTGACAGCCAAGTTTTGTCAAATTCCATCTCTACAACACCCTTCATATCTGTCCCCTTCTCTCCCTACTGCCACTACATTAGTTCAGGCCCCTATCATCTCTCACCTACCCTATTGTAATAGTTTCCTAATTGACTTCCCAGGCACCGTTCTTTGTCCTCTCTAGTTCTAGCTTCGCACAGCTGTCAAAGTCATATTCCTGAGACCCAGATCTGACCATGCTACTCCCTCTTGAGAAAGTTTCAGTGGTTGCTTATTGCCTGTAGGATGAAATATAAACTGCTTTGCCTGACATTTAGGACTGCCGCAGTACGTTTCTGGTTGATCTCCCCAGCCTGATTTCAAATTACTTCCCATTAATCCCCCAGTGTTGTGCTCTGACTGGCCTGTTTGCTACTCCGCAAACCTGACTTGCCAATTCTTCCTTCCATTCCTTTGTTCAGGCTTTTCTCCCATGCCTGGAGATGCCTCCTCTTCTCATTTCTGCCCTTGAGAACTCTTATCTTCCTACAAGGTTCAGCTCAGGCACTGCCTCCTTTATGAACCATTCTCTGATTCCCCTTCTTCTGTAGCTACTCTAGCTCTTTCCTTCAAATATTCCTAGAGCTGTTTGTCTGATTTCTCTTTTGCTCCTTTCCCAACCGTGTTTCACACTTATCTGTATTCGTGTTGCATCCCCACAGCGGAATATTAGCTCCTTGACCAAATACATGATTCATTTTAGTCTTTGTAGTCCAAAAGCCTGGCAAATGGTGTAATAATTACTCATTGAATCGAATAGTAGTCAGAGTAGGGTATTTATGGAGATAAATGTAATACAGATTGAAACATGGCAGCTTTAAAAGATCCCAACATGCCAAGAGAACTTATGAGATTAACTTTTCTCATGCCATAACCGGAATATACATTTTCCTACCTATTCTTTCTTGCTGGGACATTGCCATCCTCCTGTGATAATATAGTTTGAAAGGATCATCTTTTCTAATGATGGGTTAATATGGAATTCTGAACTTGGAGACAGCGAGACACGAGTCTAGATTCTATCTCAGATGTTTTTTAGCTGTGTAAGCCATGGCAAGTCACTTGACCTCTATCAACCTCACCGGCAAAATGGGGATGATAATAATAACAGCTACCATTTATATAGCACTTACTATGTGCCAGGCACTGTGCTAAACACTTTATGATTTTATCCTCACATCAGCTCTCTGGGGTAGATACTATTATTATTTTCATTTTGCAAATGAGGAAAGAGGCAAATAGAGGTTAAGTGAACTGCCCAGGGTCGCACAGCTGATAATAATGATAATGGTAATAATAGCTAATGTTTATATAGTGCTTACAATGTGCCAGGCACTATGCTAATTGCTCTATAGTTATCTCATTTGATCCTTACAACCCTGGCAGGTAGGTGAAATTATTATCCCAATTTTACAGATGAGGAAACTGAGTCTGAGAGAGGTCAAGTGACTTGCCAAGGGTAACACAGCTAGTAAGGTTCTGAGGCTGGATTTGAATTTAGGTCTTCCTGACTCCAGGCCTGGAGCTCTATCTACTGTAACACTCAATTGCCCCTTAATGACTCCTACATCTTGACATTGTTATGAGGATCTAATGATAATTGTTGTCCTTCCTTCTCAAAAAGGACCAAAATGACATCACTATGTTAGAGTCAAGTTTTAGGGTGTCCGACTGTGGCTGATCAGACCAGTACGAGCTCGGAATGCTCTACCACGGGTCAGGCACAGATAGTCCATGTGAACATTTGGGGTGCAGCCTCTAAATGTATACATCTCACATTTCTTTTGAGCTACTTCAATTCTGCTTTGCTCATTGAGTACAGCACCTTCCCTGATGAGGGCACGCCATATTGGATGGTCCTGTGCCAGTGTCTCCCACGTCACACAATCAATTCCAGCTTTCTTAAGAGAGACCTTGAGAGTGTCCTTGTATCGCTTCTTCTGACCACCATATGAACACTTGCCCTGTGTGAGTTCACAGTCTTTTTGGCAAGTTGTTGTTGCTGTTATGTCTTTGGGTTTAGTGATTATGTAAAAAGATTTCACTCTCTTAGCAAAGAGAAAAACAAGGAGGCAGATGCGTTGTAAAACTCAACTAAAAAAATTTTGTTTTGTTAGAACCTTAGTGTTATTTAATGAAAAGCTGAAATAGACAATCAGTGATCTACTTTTGGTGTCCTTTATGTTGTTTGTAATTAAAGAGAAATTTGTGGAGTTACTTACAGAGTAATTCTTTATGGTTAGCTTCTGTGGAAGACGATGTCATGTTACTGGCCTCTTATGGAAAACCTGCTCTGGAGAAATGCATGTTTCCATGTCCCCAGGATTGTTTTTAACATTCATGAAAACAACTCGAATGCATGTATTTGATGTATAGGAAATTGTAACAAAAACCTACCATATTTTCCCAGGTGCATACTTAGAAGTGGTTAATGGCAGACACATACCTTCTGGCTTATTGGATCAGGCACCTCTGACTCTCTTGGAATTATTTTCTTCAAATCATGACTCATCTGAACTGTGTATTAGAGATTTTTAGGGCATTTTAGATACAAAGAGAGACTGAATGCTTTTTATGTTTTGAAAAAAAATAATCACGATATTTGCAAAATGGAATGGAGAGCCATTTTCTTGAATTACACATTTTTCTTCTCCATTGATGCGTCAAGTCACTGAATTCCCACTAATCTGCCTCTAGTACATAAGGACATTTAGAGGCTATAACTTGAGAAGTAGTTAGTTGTTAATGCAGGTGTAGAGAGGTGACTGTGGTAACACATGGCCTCCTCTGCCCATGGAAGGAATGTCAGATTGGGAGTGAAGAGACCTGTGTTCTAGCCCTGTCTCTGCCACTGTCTTGGAGTCTAGGCTAATCCTTCCCAAGCCTTTTCTTAAAGATGTTGAGACAGAGCTAAATAACCTACAAGGTCCTGCCTAGCTCTGATCTGATTATATAGCACTTTATATACATTATCCTCTGTGATCCTCACACCATCCCCATGAGGTAGGCGCTTCAGGTATTATTATTATTTATCTTCATTGTGGGCTATCTCTAGTCATCCTGATGTATATCTTGCCACTGGACCTAGATGACTCCTGAGGAGAAAGTGAGGCTGGTGACCTTGCACAGCCCTCCCTCACTTAAATCCAGTTCACTTACAAGTCATGACATCAACTCCCTGGTGTCATGGTCCTCTTCTAAAACAAAGGACAAACAACAACAACAACAATCTTCATTGTACAGATGAAGAAACTGAGTCCATACAGCTCGTAAGTGCCAGAGGTACCATTTGTATCCAGGTCTTCCTAACTCCAGATCTAACATTTTCCCCACTATACCATGATCTTAGAATTGAGAACCTAACAGTGTGTGGACCACTGTTCTGATCCATCTTTCTGGCTTCTGGTTTATCCATTTACAACCATTCCAGGATGATGAAAATCTAGCTTATCTAAGCCAGCTAGAAAAGAAGAACCAGCAGTCTCCCTTAGTAACTTATTCCAGGGTTTAGTGTGGGAGGATACTTGGTTGTTCTTCTGGATAAAACAGTCATTTGCATCCTTAATAAGAATTAAACTCACCTCTTCTCCTCTTCCCCAGAATAAATGCATGGTAAGTAAAACAACCCAACACAACATCCCAGTTTATGCTTTTTCAACGTTTTTTTTTTTTTTCTTTCTTTCTTTCTTTTTTTTGTAGAATATGGCTCAGCCCTTTATATCCACGACTACCATATGGAACACCCAGTACTTGTGGTGAATCACCAACAAACTTCAAATCTGATCTGATAAGTTACTTAATGGCTTACAATGCTCCTCCTCTCAAAGAATGGGCAGATATCATCCAAGAGCATGATCTTTCCGAAACAAGGTAGGCTTTTTTCAATATAATAATTTATTAAGTGCCTACTATGTGCTGGGCACTATGCTAGATGCTGGAGAACATGGGGGCAAAAATGAAACAGTCTCTGCTTTCAAGGAACTTAAATTCTCTTAGAAGAAATAATATTTCCACAGGTAGGAAAATGCAAGGTAAATATAAAATAATTATTGAGAGTGAGGAGGCAGTAGCATAAATAGAAAATGATTAATGGGTGCTGGAGTTGGGGCTAAGAAGAGATCCAACAGTAGAAGCTGTTTCTCTGAAATCATGTAGAACAGGGATTTTAAAACCTAGGGAATACAAATAAATTTCTATAAACCAGGATGAGGAAAAAATTACATTATTGTTTCAGAATCATTGATTTCCTTTGTAGTCTTTTCTGTCTTATTGCATTTAAAAATATTATTCTGAGAAAGGGTCCATTGCTGCCAAAAGCGCCTTTTCCCCTCTCTGGTTTAAAGATATAACAAAACTCTGGAGAGCCCGCATAAGGTCTTTCCTGTTTATATGTTGAGGAATGGTGGTGTGATATTTATCTGAATATATTTGTTAATTTTTTCTCTATCCTTTTTTCAAAATGTGCCCCAATTTACCCTTGCCTCATGTTTTTCTAGCTTTACAATGAGAAGAAGTGAAACCTCCTGCCGCCTTTTCTTCATGAGGACACAGAAATCAAGCTTCTGAGTCCAATAAGACTTTCATCCTGCTTTTCTTGTGGGGCATGCCACATTTTGCCTTGCCTCATAGCTATTTATTTTTGTCTTGTGTCCCCTGATAGATTATGAGCTTGTTCAGGGCAGAGGAGATATCTCATTCATCTTTGTAGCCCTTCGCGGTATCTTGTCGGTAAAAAGTGCTCAATGAATATTTATTGAATGAATGAAGAAGATTAAGCAGAGAATGAGGGCTTAAATTTCATGGGGCAAACTGATGTGCAGGAAAGAGGCTGGAGAGGAAAGTGTAGAATATGATTTTATTCTGTATTGTAAACTCCCTCTAGGCAGCAGATGGATCCTTAGCTCTTTTTCCAAAAATTGCCCATGATGCCTTGCACCTTGTAGATACTCAGTAAATACTTGTTAAATATAAGTTGTTTTTAATGTTTTAAAATTCTGAACTTAACAAACACCAAGTAAAATGAACATTTCCTCCATATGCCTTATAGAACTAGGGAGGAATGATACATGAACCTGAATCTCTATTATAAAGAGCTTGCTTTTCTAAAAGTTGGTTTGTTTTTTTTTTATTTGGTTTGTTTGTTTATTTTTTTTGGCAAAGAAACTTTTAAAAACACAATGCCCTGCAAATAGTAGGTGTTCTGTGAGTAATTTTTTCTGATTAATTGAAAACAGTACCTTTTCCTCAAATGATATGCTTTGAAGATAAATTATTCCTTCCTTGGAAGCACCGTGTTTAAAGTGAGATATGGAAACATTCCACATGTTAAGTTTTTGACTTATATTCTGTCTCTTTAGTTGCCAAAACTCAGAGTGGCTTTACATTTTATCACTTATCTCTGATGGTTTTTAGAGTTTATCTTATTGGGTCAACTCCTGGACGATTTCAAGGGAATCATAAAGAAGACTGGGGTCATTTTCGGCTCAGGAAGGTAACAGAACTTTTTACCGTTGTTTTTTTTTTTTTTCTTAGATTGTAAACTTGTTGTGAATAAGGATATACACCCTAGCTGTATGCCCTGGGGCTAATCTCTCTGTGCCTCAGCTTTCTCATCTGTAACACAAGAGCACCTTGCTCCCAGGGTTTGTTGGGAGGATAAAACCAGAAGATATGTACAGTGCTTTGCAAACCTTAAAGCACTATGCAAATGCTAACTGTTATTATTGTAGTTATTATTAATTATTTATTAATGTTAATTATTGTTATTATTAACATTACTTTTTATGAAAATTATAATGTTACTTTAAAAATTAACAACAGTAATATTTGTCTTGGTATCACAAGTATCTAGCTACAGTGTCTGGCACATAGTAGGTACTTAAATAATTTTTTATTGATTGATTCTTTCTGTTCATGTGTGCTTTCCCTCATCTTTTATTTCCACGTGCATGCATTTATAATTTTATTGGGGCTGTCTTCATGATGTCTAGCAAACACATAGTAAGTTTGTAGAAATGTTTGATTACAAATTTCATTGGTTTCCTACTCTTAGAGTCAGAACCAGTGGTACTTCATGGGAAGGGTTGAGCACTAATCTATTTAGGGGAAGTTAGGTGGCACAGTGGATAGAGTGCCTGGAATACCTGAGTTCAATTCTGGTCTCAGATCTTATGAGCTGTGTGACCCTGGGTAAGTCACTTAACCCTATTTGCCTCAGTTTCTTCGTCTGTAAAATGAGCTGGAGAAGGAAATGGCAAACCACCCCAGTATCTTTGCCAAGAACCCTAATGAGTTCACAAAGAGTCAAATGTGACTAAATAACAACACTAATTGATTTAGAACAGGTAAAATGAGAAACTTTGAATTAGAAGATATCAAAAGGTCTGTTCTCTAATTCTTAACTCTTATGTCCTATGATTTTGGATCTATTGATTTTTAAAAATATTTATTGGAATCATCTGTTTTTACATCATCTATATTTCTCATTGTATGCCTTCCCATGTGCATGATCCTTTATAATCAAGAATGAAAAAGAGGAGAAAAAAGAGTCTACAAAACTTATCAACACTGAAAATAATGTGTGATATTACCTGTGGTATTCTATACCCAGAGCTCTCCACCTCTGCAAAGGAAAGGGGAGAGGTGAAGTGCCTTCTCATACCTCTTCTTTGAAGCCAAACTTGGTTATGAAATTATAATTTCATAGAACTCAGTTTTAATTGATGTTCTGTTTAAGTTATTGTCATCATTGTCAGTCAGCAAGAATTCATTTTTAAAAATGTTTTTATTTTTAGTATTCTTTAAAATTATTTTAAATTGTCTTCCCTTTAATGCCTTCCCCATTCACTAAGAAGACAAGCAATTGTAGTTCAGTTGTTTCAGTCATGTCTGACCCTTTGTGACCCCATTTGGGGTTTTCTTGGCGAAGATACTGCACTAGTTTGCAGTTTCCTTCTCCAGCTCATTTTACAGATGAGGAAACTGAGGCCAACAGAGTTAAGTGACTTGCTCAGGGTTACACAGCTAGTAAATGTCTGAAGCCAGATTTAAACTCAGAAAGATGAGTCTTCCTGACTTCAGGCCTGGCACTCTATCTACTGTGCCACAATATTAATTATACATGTGAAATAATGTAAAATCTATTTCTAGACTAGCCATGTCACCAAAAAAGCAAGAAGAATAAAGAGATAAAATTATACTTCAGTTTGCACTCAGAGTTCATCAGTTCTCTCTGTGGAGGTATATAGCATTTTTCATCATGAGCCTTTTGAATTGTCTTTCGTTGTGTTGATCACAGTAGCTGAATCTTTTTTCACATTTGATCATCATATAGTGTTGTTATTACTGTGTATAGTGTTCTCCTGGTTCTGCTCACTTCACTTTGTATCAGTTCATATCATCAATCATTTATTAAACACCTACTATTTGCCAGGTACTATGCTAAGCGTATATTGGTTTCTGGGTTCTGCTTACTTCATTTTTGCAACAAGTCATACAAGTTGCATCCATCAATTCTTACAGTGGAGTAATATTCCATTACATTTCATTGTACCCCACTTTATTTAGCTATTCCTCAATTGCAGGTGCCCTAAAGAATATATTTCTTAAAATAAACATCAATGGGGAAAGGAGGGTGAAAGGTTAAAGGGTTTCTTCTGCAGAACCTTCCTTTTCCTTCTTGCCCGTATCTTGTGGTCTCTCCAGAACTCACCAGCTCAGTCTATTTCTTTTAGGAATATTATAGCTTCTGGTATAGCTTTCTTAATAAGAGAGTTGTTATTATTAGGAGTCTATCTAAAGAAGGAAAAGAGTGTTAATAAAATCTATTGCTATCTATTGAAAATGAATTTAATTTAAACAAAGTTAGTCTTTAAATGCCCTGAAGGGGATTACAGTTACGAAAGTCACATTTGTTCCTGATGTGAAAAATCATGGGAAAAGCCAACAAATAGAATTAAGTAGACTTAACACATTGGAAATGATGGTAATAATAGGTAATTTATAACTACTTTATTAGGGCATAATTTGTAGCCCTTCCTTCGTAAATCCTAATATGACTTCTATGTTTTAATCACTATATAAATCTTATCCTTTACCTTTGCTGTGGCTAATGGATATTATGCAAGAATTCCTTAGAGGCCATGGTAGTGGCCTATATTCCAAGAAAGCTACCTGGTATTATTTTTTAAAAAGCATTAATGCTTAAAAAAACCTATTAGAATAATTAATAGGAAGTAACTAGCCATAATTATCTAGCTCTGCTATTTAATAAAACCTCCTTTGTGGTATGTGAATAGATTAGACTTGAACAGACTTAGAGGGACAGCTAGGTGGTACAGTGAATAGTGTGCCAGGCCTGGAGTCATCTTCCTGAGTTCCAATCTGGATTCAGAAACTTACTAACTGTGTGAACCTGGGCAAGTCACTTAACCCTGTTTGCCTCCATTTCCTCATCTATAAAACAAGCTGGAGAAGGAAATGGCAAACCACTCCTCTGTCTTTGCCCAAAAAATCCCAAGTGGGGCCACGAAGAATTCAACACAACTGAAATGCCTAAACAACAGGAACAAAGACTTGGAGTCTAGAAGACCCGAGTTCAGATCTTGCCTCAGACACTTCCTGTGACTCTGGGCTTCCCCTCCATTCACCTTACCCATTTGTAAAATAGGGATAATAATAGCACTTATCTTGTAAGGTTGTTGTGAGACTCAAAAGAAGTAGCATATATAAGGCGCTTAGAACACTATATAAATGCTAACTATTATTATTAGCTCTTGTTTAGCCTGGTGCTTCTTAGCACATAGGTTGCTTTCTGATGACCAGTAAGTAACTATTTGGTTCTTTCCAGCATATCCATCACTCTCACCCCCCAAGACACTAATCCATTCCCTGTATATAGCATTTGCAATTGAATTCTTCTCCTTCCACCCTGCCCCACTCACCTTCCAGTCATTTCTGAAATACCTTCCTCATTTTTTATGTGCCCTCAGTGAGGGTCATAGAATGTCATGGCTAGAAGTATCCATAGAGGTCTTCTATCCTAGCCCCCCATTATACAAATAGATGAGGCTTAGGAAGGGAAAGAAATTTCCCCATTGTCATGTAATGAGTAGTGGACATGGGACTTGAACCCATTTCTTCTGATTCCAATATTAGACACAGTGGTGAACACTTTGGTGTGTTCTTTATTGGTGGTATATGCATAAGTGAAATTATTCTACCATTTAATTAGGCTTCCCTCAGCTATCGTGTTGTAGAGAGCATAGTGTGGAAGAAAAAGTACTGAGCTCAAATCTCATATTGCAGGTGATAAGTCCAGAGCTCAAAGGGACATTACAAGTCATTTCTTTAAGTATTTCCATTTTGCATATGAGAAAACTGAAGCCCATAAAGGTTCAACGACTGACCCAAGGTCATGTGTTAAGTGATAGAGCTGGAATTGGAACTTGGGTTTTGTGATTCCACTTTCAGTATTCGAAATTCTGCATTTTTTCTGTTGTTTCAGGGTACTGAGTGGGATCCTTACTTTGAAGTCTAGTCTTAGAGAAGTAATTTTACCGCTCTGAGTTTCAGGTGCCTTAACTGTGAAATGAGGACAGAAATACTGGCACGACCCATCTCAGGAAGTTGTTCTCAAAACAACTTTGAAAACCAGAGACTGTTCCATGCTGTTTTGAATGTCAGAGGTTGAGTGCAGGTGTGAGAATGGACCTAGACCTGTTTTAAATATCTGGACTCAAAAATATTGAAAAAAAAATCCTTCTATTAAGATAATTAAAAATAATTCAATAATTGGTAGGTTGGTGGAATTTCTTGGGCAAGTCACCATGCCCTTATCTTTGCCCCCGTTGATAATTTACTTTTATTATTATCTGAATTTGGCCCTTGTTAGAATAAAGAATTTTCAAAGGTTAAAAAAAAAATAAATTCACTAACTCCATTAAAAAATAACAGCAACAGAAAGAACTGATGATCTGTGAGTGAAGGTTGAAGCATGAATTTTTTTCACTTGATTTTTTTTCTTTTTTTCTTTTTCTTTTTTTGAGGTGGGGAGCAGCATGGCTAATATGGAAATATGTTTTGCATGAGTTCACATGTATAATTGATATCATATTGCTTGCCTTCTCAATAGGTGGGGGAAAGGGCTTGAGAAGAGAATTTAGAACTCAATATTTTTAAAAAGTGCTAAAAATAAATAAAAACTTAGAAGAACAACAACCACATTTAGGAAAAAAAATAATCTTTTGTTTGATTTTTTTTCCCAAGTATTGAAATTCATAACTTTTTTTTTTGTTTGTTTGTTTTTTTGGTGAGGCAACTGGGGTTAAGTGACTTTGCCCAGAGTCACACAGCTAGTGAGTGTCAAGTATCTGAGATCAGATTTGAACTGAAGTCCTTCTGACTCCAGGGCCGGTGCTCTATCCACTGCACCACCTAGCTGCCCCCCAAATTCATAATGTTTTAAAAGTTTTCTTTTTTTCTGAGAATTAGGAATTTCAGATAAGCAGAATGCACACTATCTCTCCAAAGATGACTCCAGTTTTTGTCTTGGACTATTGGAGTTTATGATGCATAGTAACAACTTTCTCCTCCCACAGCTTCTGAAAGAGCACACCTCATTGGTACCCGAGCAGCAATCTTGGCCCATTGTAGGCCAGTTCTCAAGCATTGGCTCCTTGGGAGCTGATGAGTCCAAATGGCTTTGTGCTGAGTTTAAAGACAGTCTGGTGATTGTAGGAAATCGTGGAAAGACTGAAGCACAGCGTGATGTCCCTCTCCATTTGGTAGGTATCTTTCTGTACTCAGTTGATACATTTTTACATCGTCGGCATGGCAAGAAAAGAGTGTAGGATTTGGCATCAAGGTGACTTGGGTTGTTGTCCTAGCTCAGCTGCTTGATACTGTTGGTGTGACCTTGGACAAAGCCGATTAGCCTCTTTGAGACTCCATTTGCCCGTTTGTAAGAGGAAGATGACCTTTAAGATCCCTTTTGGCTCAAACTCTTTCATTCTAAGAACATTTAACAGAGATATTCAGGGATTTGAATGGAGGCTGTAACTTTTCATCACCATCTAGAGAGAGGCTACATGATTGAAAGAGTCACTGGCCCAAAGGCTGAAGATTTGAGTGAGCGTCATGCCTGTGACACTGTGTGATCTTGGTTGACTCACTTTACTCAGCTAGGTGGTGCAGTGATTAAAGCACTGATCCTGGAGTTAAGAAGACCTGAGTTCAAATTTGGCCTCAGACACTTACTATCTCTGTGACCCTGGTCAAGTTACTTAACCTTTGTTTGCCTCAGTTTCCTCAACTGTAAAATGACTATAATAATAGTATCCACCTTCCAGGGTTATTGTGAAAATTGAATGAAATGATATTAGTAAAGTATGTGGCACATAGTAGTTACTTAATAAATTCTTATTCACTTCTTTCCCTTCCCCTTTTCTTGTTTGTAGAACAGAGGTGGTAATAACTTACATTATCTAGCACCTTGGGTTGTTGGGGGCCTCAGTTTTCTCATTTGCAGTATAAAAGGGTTGAACTATATATTCTTTAAGATCCTGTTCAGCTCTAACATTAAATACTCAAAATGATACACAATGTGCTTTGTAATCATAAAGTGTTAAGTATATACACATGTGAGCTACTGTTTTTGAATGTTACTCATAAGCTGCCATTACTAATATACTGGTCAGAGTACTACTATTCCATTACAGACTAGCTTAATACTTTGACTCAGTTGCAAATTTTTTCTGAGTCATCACAAATGATATTAAATATTTAGAGAGTTATAGGTTAATAATTAACTTTCCATTCATTTAACATTAATTTAGGGAGAAATCAAATCTGAAGTCATGTGAGTGGTATTTTTTTCCTCCTCCTTTTTCAGTTCCCTTGTAAGTAAGCTTGTTAGCAACCTTTGCATTTTTGATAAGATAGGCCTTTATTGTTTGAGTAGCATTTTGTAAAGCTTTAGAAGGCTAAATATAAACTTTTTATGAAGTTTTCTTTTGCGTGAAGCTAATTGGTTTATATCATTTGGAATAATTCGTGCTTTTTAAAATCTAGATTTTTAATTTTTAAAAATTCAGTTCAATGAAAATTCATTGAGTGCCTATTTAAATATGTATAGGGAACTGTGCCAGGTATTGTGTGATCCAGAGAAAATATCAAGGAATGGTCCCCACCTTCATAAAGTTCACAATCTAGTTGGAGAATGTACTCAGATAACTGAAATACAGAATGACATATGATGAATAAATAGGCGCAAACAGAATGATATGAAAAATCCAAGAAAGATAGAGTTCTAGTTCTGCTTGGAAGGATCAGACAAAAATGTCATGGGAGATGCAGCATTTGAATTTGGCCTTGGTAGGATGGTTTTGTCCATTCTACTCCAGCAGGCAGAATTATGGGGGCAGTACTTTCCAGGGAGGGGGAGCAGAGTACAGAGAGAGGGAAGAGAATAAGCATTTATATAACACTGTATGTCAGATACTGTGGTAAGTGCTGTACAAATATCATCTTATTTGATTCCAACAACAACCCTGTTGGATAGGTGATGTTATTGTCCCCTTATTACAGTTGGAGAAACAAGTTAAGTGACTTACCCATGGTCACACAGCTATTAAGTGTCTGAGGACAGATTTGAACTCAGAAAGATGAGTCTTCCTGACTCCAGGCCTGGCACTCTTTCCACTGGGTCACCTAGCTGCCTCTATTAGCCAAACATTTGACGGTAGACAAGGGCTAGAGTTCACTTTAAGGTAGAGAGATATAGCGTGTAAATGTTTGAAAATTTTTGAGTAAAGGAATGACATGATCAAAGCTGTTCAATAAAATTATTCTCCTCTGTGTACTCTGTGGTCCAGTGATACTGACCTCCTTGCTGTTTCACTCTTCATCTTCCAACCATGAGTGTTTTCAGTGGCCTTTCCCCTATCTGCAACTCTCTTTCTTCTTTGTCTCTGCCTTTTGGCTTCCTTTAAGTCTCAGCTAATGTCCCACTTTCTTCAAGAAGCCTTTCCCAGTCCTCTTCAATCTTAATGCCTTCCCTCTGAGACTATCCCTATTTATCCTGTCTGTCTTGTTTACATGTAGTTGTTAGTGGGTTGTTTCTCCCATCAAACTCCTTGTGAGCAGGGACTCTTACTTGCTTTTTTTTTTTCTTTTAGTATCCACAGCACTTGAGCATCGTGTCTGACACCTAACAGACTCTTAATAATTACTAGTTGACTCACTGACTGACTGTAGGGACTGAGACTGAAGACAGGCAATACCACCGCCATTTGGGCAAGATTTATTGGGAGTTAGAATTATTGGTTGGCAGGGGGAATGGAGAGAAGTTGAAACATGGAGCTAGAAGATTAAAATAATTATGATAACCCATTTTCATAGAGTGCTTAATAGTTTACAAATCTATTTACATCTGTTATCTCAATTGAGAGATGAAACTCAGAACGGAAGGGGTGAAGTGATTTGTTCAGGGTCACACAGCTAGAATTGTGGCCATTGCAACCAGGATTCTAAGGCAGGTCACCTGGCTTCAAATCTAGTACTCTTCCTTACATCACAGAACTAAAGAGAGGAGAGGGATCCAAGATAAAGGGAAGTCTGAGGTGATTACTGGGTTTTTGACTTCCAGAATGGTAGTTATGTTCATAGCAATAAGGAAGCTAAAAGATAGGAGAAACTGGAACACATTTGTAGGTGAGAGGGTAGAGTGGGAGACTGAAGATGCAAGAGAGGCCGGGTATTATTAAGGCCTTGGAGAAAGGAAAGATTGGGAATCAAGTGTGCAAATGGTGGGGTTAGGCTTAGCAAAGAGAGAAGGCCACTTTTTCACCTGATGCATTTTCAATTTTTTTCCTTCCTTGTTTAGATTTATCCCACAGTGGAGAATGTCCGGAAAAGTTTGGAAGGATATCCTGGTAAATCAGCCGTGCTTTATTGGTGGTTATTTCGAATACATGTTATTAATTTTCTGAGCTAATTTGCAAGAATGACTTCTAATTTAGGACAATGTTAGGATCTTCAATGAAGTCAAAGGGGTGGTGGGAGGAGGAGGAGCTTTATGGCAGTGTGGTTCTTTTTTGTATATCTAATCTTCATTGGAGATTTTTCAGAACTGAAGAGCTAGTATGGCATAGTATATAAGAGAGACAACCTTGGAACCAAGACTTGGGTACGAGCCCCACTTCTGATTTGAATTTACACATAGTGGCTGTGTGAGCCTTGTTCAGTCCCTTAACCTTTAATTGCTTTAGGCAAATCTCACAGTGTTTAAGATGCAGAGAATGTGCTGATCTGCATATGTAAAGGGAATTTTCTCACCTGGAATTTACCTTTAAGAATGAAATCACCAGTCTCCTACCTATCCCAGTAGCAATTTGATTTCTCATCCATTAACATTTTTGTTTCCTGGCTATAAAGTCTCCATTTAAGTGATTTCCAAATAAAAGAACAAAATGTCCTTTTCTACACTGATTCAGGACCTATTTCTTAGTTTTATCCATTCTACACACAAAAAAGAAATGTGGGCATTCAGGAGGAGGGTGAAGGATTACATTTAAAATTATTATTTTGAAAATCAAGCCTTTCCTTTTTGTCCCTCCCCTCTCCCTAATTTAGAACCTCTGTATAGATAGAGAAATCATTTAAAAATGTATTGTGGGTGCTTCCCACTAATGCAGAGTGTTAGTAAAACTTCATTAGAGAGGTTTTTTTTGGAGTGTTACGTGATTTCATTGGTCTAGGGAATTTCTGAATGTGGAAATTCTTTTTTTCCTGCAATCTACAATCTCTGCAACATGTAATCTGGTTAAGTGACTTGCCTGGGATCACGCAGCTCGTATGATTCAGAGGTGGAAACCCAGGTCTTCCAGATTACAAGGCCGTCTCTCTATATGCTGTTCCTTTTTGTCTCTCAATTTTTATCAATACTTTTTGTTTTTACTTCATATTAATTTCCAAGTATATCCCTCTGCAATCCATCTGACTATTTCTTGTAACAGTTATTAAAAAAGACAAATCAGAGCACAACCTATCATCTGTTAAATTACATTCATTAAAAATTCACTTTTAATGAAGAATACTGCATTTTAGATAAAGCTGTTTTTAAAACTAGCACAGATGCTATGATTGTGTTTAATTTTGTGTAGCAGGAGACAGATTATACTTTTTTTTGAAATCTAGTTTAAAAGATTTTTCTAACCATAGCAAGCTAAATTTCAAACTCTTTCTTCTCTTTAATGGAGATAACTTAATTAATTTTAAGCTATAATTCCATCTCAAAGCATATCTGTATTTAGAGGAGATAGCACTGAGTGGTGGAAAAAGCATTGGGTTTGGAATTAGGAGATTTGCTTTCCTGTCCCTTATATCACTTATAGCTGTTAAGCTTAGGCATGTTGCTTCATCTCTTAGAATTATGCAAATTTTCCCAGCTAAAAGTTTCATTAAACAGGTGGCCTTTTTTTTGGAAGTCTAAAATCTTATTTCCAGGTAATAATATTTAATATTTCTTTAAATGTTTACAGAATTCATATACACACAAACTCACATATGAAATACATACATAACACACAACTCATTGATCCTTATGACAATGAGTGAGTTGTGTATGTAATATATGTGTATATTGGTGTGTCTATAAATTATGAAAACATTTAAAGAACAACATAAATGTTGAGTATTATTATTTTCCAGAATTATGATTTTGGACTTGTAGTAAAAAAAAATGACTGCTAAATGATACTTTTTACTGGATTAATTTGTAAAATTATAATTCCCCCTCTACATGTAAGAACCTAGTTGTTTGGGTCGTATTCTATATGGAATAATGGAAGGGTTTTTTCTTTCCTTTTTTATACTTTATAATCTATACAATAATATAATTTTAGATGTGGAAAGACACTTGAAGACCATCTAGTCTGGCCCCCTTATAATGATAAGAAAACTGAGCTTCATTGAGAAGAAGTAACTTACCCAGGGTGACCAGCTAGTTGGTAGTAAGACAAGAGATAGAACTCTGACTTCTGAACCTGTAATTCAGAACTCGTCTAGGAGGCCTTTTGTACTAAACTACACTATTCTTAAACTCAGGATCATAAGACGTAAAGTTAGAAATGACTTTGGAAATTTTGTTTTATAGATGAGGAAACTGAGACCCAGAGATGTTAAATAATTTACCCAAGGCTACATAGGTAGCTACTGAATAAGAAAGTCTAACTTCAAACCCAGATCCTGTAAATCCAATTTTAGCGTATTGTTCACTATGTCCTGATGCTTCTCAATATTTTAAACTTTTCGTGCCCTATGGCAAGTCTATGTTGCTTAATCTTCTTTTCCAGGAAAAGAAACCTTATCAATATAACCAGAGTAAGGCTTGGACAATTATTTTTTCAAAGAAAGAATTTATAAGATTAAAGTAATGAAGATAGTATTTTTTTTTTAATCTACCCAGTGGTGCTTTACTGAATTTTTTTTCAAGGACTCTTCCAGCTGCACTGCTACTTTTTAAAAAGATCTCGTGATGCATTTTCTAACTTATTTTGTCTTCTGTTTGTCTTAAAAGCTGGTGGCTCTCTTCCATACAGCTTACAAACCGCAGAGAAACAACTTTGGCTCCACTCCTATTTTCAGTAAGTACCAGTTTTATGATGTTTTTCCTTGTTAAAGATGATGACAACAACTGACATTTCAATAGTACTCTGAAGTTTGCAATTTGCTTTAAGAACATTATCTGGATTGAGCCTCACTATAACCTTGTGAGATAAGTACTTTCGGTATAATTGCCCCTATTTTAGAGTTAAATTGAGTTGAGGCTTAGGAAGACAGTGACTTGTCCCATGCCCCCACCACTAGTATGTGCCAGAGACAGGATCTGCACCTACGTCTTTCCAATTCCAAATCCAAAACTCTCTCTTTTATACCACTTTTCAAAAATAGACTATGCAGGCTGCAGTTGTATGGATTTTACTCTTTTCTCGATATTTGACTACTAAAATAATGAAATAAGAGAATTTAAAAAATTTTTGCTGGAGAAAGTCAACTAAGGCACCATTTCCATTGTTAAGAAGAAGGTATTCAATTTAAATGTTCAGGGTTATTTTAAAGAACACGGAGATTGAACCTGGGCCATATTGAATGCACTGGAATGTGGTATAAGCAAAACAGCATTTTAATAACTATCTTCCAGCTAGAATACACTTTGCCCATTAGTTCCTAGTTTTGACTTGTGAAAGAGTTCATCAGCTTCCCTCCTAAAGTAGGGATTTCAAATCCAGTGGGATTGGGCTGTTTGGGTTCAGTACATAATGTTATGTGTTCCTTTGTTCAGAGGAAGATGTGGTCATATTAGCAAGTCTTTCTTGATAGAAAGCAAAGATTTAGATGTTGTGCAAAGGGATAATTAAAGGAAAATGCCATGTGAATTTGGGACCATTGTACACAAGAGAATCAATCAATAAACATTTATTAAGTGCCTGCTGTGTGCCAGGCACTATGCCAAGTGCTGGGCATACCAAAAAAGGCAAAAGACAATGCCTGCCCCAAGGAGCTTACAGTCTAATGGGGGAGGACAACATGTGAACAGATATATACACACAAGCTACAGGTGGGTTAAATAGGAAATAATAGAAGGAAGGCAGTAGAATTAAGAGGGGTTAGGAAAGGATTTCTGTAGAAGATGAGACTTTAGTTGGGGTAGTGGCTGTGTCCCATCACATCCCATGGATATGGATAATCTTTTTACTGTTAAAAGTTTTCAGTTCATCCCTGCCTTCTCATCCTCTGCAGACCTTGTTCATGTTCTTTCATGAGTCTTTCATAGAGCACCCATCCAGTACATTAATAGCTTTCCATTAGATCTTTTCATAGTTTGTGGGTACTAGTGCACCACTCAGGCTGTCTATATATTGTATTTCATTCTTGCTACTTGACTGTCTTACCTTCTTCTTGTAGTCATATATATATTTTTATATGTTGCTTTTTGACTGTAATGCCTTGTTGGTAATATGCTGCAACATGATTTACACTCACCATGTGTCTTTCCATTGCCTTCTGGGTCACCTGAAATTTTGATTCTTCTGTGCTCATGGTGTTCTGTGATTTGTGGCCATACAGCATTTTTGGAAGGATTTTGGTTTTGAAAAGATGGGCTTTTGTGGCAAAGAGTATCTTGGGATCATTGAAAGTGCTATACATTTTCTCAAATGCAATTCAACTTATTCTACTCTTTAATGTTTTACAAGGTGGTATTTCTTATATTCTTCCTTTTTCTTCCTCTTTAACTAAGCTAATTAACTTCTAATTTAAATCTCCTAGGGTTTTTATGAGGATAAATTGAGACAACGCTTTGCAAATCCAAAGCATTGTATAAATTATTACTTTAAATCACTGGTACTTTTGGCTTCCATGACACTAATTAACTAAATATTTTCTTTAATATATGTTAGCCATCTACACCAGACAAGTATGATTGGTTTTCAATAATTAAAATGCAATCAGATATACTTGACACTAACCTACCCTGTACAAAAGGGTCCCCTTTTGTATACTGTACAAAAGTTGATGGTAAAAAGGCCCAAGTACCTATGTAACTTTGAGCAATTTTAACTTCTCTGAGCCTCAGTTTCTTCAGTTGTCAAATGAGATGAGAATGCAAGGTTATTGCTGACTGATAAGTACTTTATAACAATATATGTGTCTGGCACATAGTATCTACTTGAAATGCTTGTTGATTAACTGAATTTTAAATTATTCATACATTTTAGCATCTGCTGTTTCTCAGACTTCTCATTCTGGCCATCGTTTGTCATTGTATACCAGGTGTTCTGAAAAATAGGGAGTTTTTGTTAATAGAGTGCCAGAGAACCTAGTTTTACTGTGTTTTCCTTCAAGTTCACCAAACATTAGAAAAAGAATGGTGTATAGAGATATTTTGAAACTATGACCAAGTGGCATAATTTTGGTATTCTTGAGCTTTTTTCATTCATCGTTAAGACTCCAAACCGTGATTTCATGCCATAACACCACAGTAGTTTGTTAAGATTTCTTAAATTCATATCAGTTTCAAGCTGGAGAAGGCGTTAGAGATAGTCCAACACTGCCACATTTGCAGGAGGACACCAAGGCCCACTAGGGATAAAGTGATTTGCCCAAATGAACACAGCTAGTTAGTGGCATTGGAGAGCCAAGAACCCAGGTACCCTGACTCCCCAATCCAAAGTTCTTTCTGCTGTATCACATCTTTGGCAATTAACCTTTCAGAGGGGGGAATTCAAAATTCGACCACCTCCTACTTTTCTAAAATCACTGGTGCTATCATAAGGTTGACTCTCTTCTATTTCAGGCATAAGTTAGTTGGTAATTATGATTATTTCTTCCATGAAATCTTGTACCTCTAATCATTCAGACCTAGGAGTCAGACTGAGAATAGATCCCTGGATTTGGAATGATCTCTGCAGTATATCTTGTGTAATTATATTTCTCTAGTATTTAGATTTTATTTCTTCTATTTGTGCTGTTTACATTTTGCCTAGTGTGAGTCTGTATTTATTTGATTTGCGTTGTCATGTGTTTCTGACATTGAGCATAAAGCTAGTTTGGCATTGGTTAATGGAAAACTAATGTGTGTCTTTCCTTTCACCAGCAAATGGTCAGCAGAAACCTCAGGTCGTACCAACGCCATGCCTCACATTAAGACCTATATGAGACTCTCTCCAGACTTTGCAAAGATGGCTTGGTTTCTTGTCACAAGGTAAATAGTCCTCATATTCCTAATGAAAGGAATGTTTATTTTAAAATATGTAGGTAAGTGGGTCAGAGAACCATGGGAAGATCTATAGGGACTGATTCAAAGTGTAGTGAACAGAACTAGGAAAACGGTACATACAAAAAACCTACGAGTATAAATGAAAAGAACAATAAGATAAAGCTATGTAATTGTAATGATCCTTCCTTGGTCCCTAAGAAGAGATGAAGGAATATATTTTCATCCTTTTCTTGTAGAGGGAGGGGAATGTTTTGGTCTTTCTGGGTCACATTGGTCTTGCTTACTTGATTCATTTCTTTGTTACAAAGGAAGGTTCCTTGGGGATGGAATGGGAGGGATGGTGGCAGGATATATGTAGGGTGAAGGCCATCCAAAATAACTAATATAAAAACAAAACACATCAATGTAACTATATTAAAAATTAAGACTCCCCCTTTAAAATGCCTTACCAGTAATACTTGTCCTAAGATGAAGAAGAAATCAAAACTTTTTCCAAGTCAAGTCATAGTGAGAGAAAATTCTCCTTTAAATTGGTCAAGCTAGATTGTGTGATAGTGAAGTTTCCTACACTATTTTCTTTCTTTGAAAAAAATTGAATTTTTATTGATGTCTTTTTTATCATAGTAGTTTAATTTTTTTTTTTCAATTAGTGGGCATGTATTTTCTTTTCCTCTGACCTTTCCCCACCTCCCAACTATAAAGGGAAAATAAAAAACCACTAACAAACATTCAGAATCAAGTAAAATACATATCCACAATAGTCATGTCTCATTCTGTATCCTAGGATCATCTCTTTGTTAGGAGATGGGTAACAGTCTTCTTCATGATTTCCTGTGGAATCATGGCTGGCCACTACATCAGTCTAGGTTCTTTAGTTTTTCAGAGTTGTTTTATGCCATAGACATTTCCAGATTCATGGTATCACCACCTCCTCCTTATTCCCCCCTCCCTGAACCATTTTTTTTTGAAAGAAAGAAAGAAAATCTGATAAAGCTAACTCTCATAGCAAACTTGACAATGACATTTCACACCCTTCTGCCCCCTTTCCTCTCCTCTTGTAGAGGACAGAAGATTCCCTCTGTTCTAACAGCAAAGCTGGCTTTGAGTGAGGGGGCCTGAGTTATGAGCTTAGGATATTTAAGTAGCATGATTCTCAAATGCTAAAATCTTTAAAAATAGATGTGGTTTTGGGATCCTGGGAAAGTCAAGGCTATAGATGGAAGTACTTTTGGTGGACCTGGAGGTAACTGAGCCCAGATTGATCTGGAACCACACATTATGTGACAAATATAGAAAAAGCATTGAATTGATAGGTGAGGACTGAGTTCTAGCCATTTTATGTTTTTTTCTTTTTACTTTGGGCACATTGTTTTTTTGCTTGTTTTCCTTTCATTTTTTAGAAATTTATTTTTAGTTTATGGAATAAAACACGCATTTTAAAAAAGATAATTGCACATGACACTGCAAACCTATTATTTACAACTTGCTATTCCTTTTAAATATATAACAAAGTTGTCATGTAAATGTCCTTTTTTTTTCTTTTTTCCCTTCCCCCCACCCTAGAGATGGCTACCATTAGACACAATAGGTGTACATATATGTAAAATTATTCTATACGTGTTTCTGTTTATCACTTCTTTCTCTGGATGCAGATAGCGTCTTCATACGTCCTTTGTAGTTAATTTAGGTATTTATAATAGTCAAAATGACTTATCTGCTCAAAGCCATTCTTAAAACAGTATTGTAGTTACTATAAACAGTGTTCTCTTGGTTCTGCTCATTTTGCTCTTCATTATTTCATGCAAGTGTTTCCATATTTTTCTAAAATCATCAAACTCATCATTTCTTATAGCACAGTAGTATTCCATCACAATTATATGTAACAACTTGTTCAGCCATTCCCCAATTGATGGGCATCCCCACAATTTCCAGTTCTTTGCTACCATGAAGAGAGCTGCTATGAACATGTTAGAGCATCCAGGTTTCCTGAAGGGGCAGGAAAGAGTGACCTCTATCTCTTCCAGCTTTAAAATTCCATGACCCTAGTGTTTCTTTGCTCTTCAATCTCTATTAACGTAGAGTTGTTTGTGCAAGTGTGTGACAATGAACTGGTTGATTGAAATTATCCCTTTCAAGGGTGCAGAAACCAAAACATTCCCTTCCAAGGTGGAATGGTGCCTTGCTCCTTCCCATACCTGATAGAAACCCTGTGAGTCTCTGTGCTCTCCCAAGGAAGAATGACATAGAAAATAAAAATTCACCCAAGTCAGCTCAGTCAGTCCTTGGTGAGCTCTAATTATCCATGCTTATCATGTGAGCTCAGGAATTTGTCTGCCAGCAATCTGCCTACACTCTTCTGTACCTTCTGTGTATTATCCCTGGTCCTTTGTGTAGAAGACCCAATAGGAGATGTTCTTTGAGGTAGGTGTTTTTTATGGAGGTGGGGATGAATTTGTGCTGAAGCACTGGCAGTGACCAGCTTGACTCTACCCAGACGATACACTGTTCATTACAATCCTGGCCTACCTATAAACATCATGCTAATTGTCTCAAACCAGCCACAGAATCTCAGGCCTAAAGTGATCTTACATAACCATCCTGCCTGCTGCCCTGACTCCTAAAAGTTCCATGTGCCTTTTGATAAGCGTCTTGCCCTCTCTTGGCCTCAGTTTTTTCATCTGTAGAATGAAGAATCAATAAACATTGAATTATTATAACAATAGATTTACCTAATATAATATTACATCATTTTACATTATACTGTTTATATTTTATTACATTGTGTATTAAGTTATGATGAACATGTTCATTAATATAACTAGTAATTAATACAACTGTTGATCACTTGTACCTATGTGTGTATATACTTGTATATGTATACATACATCTGTACACACATCTATAAGACCTTTTTCTGAAGTCTTTGCCATCAGAACATAAGCTCTGGCAGGTGCTAGGAAGTTGGAAAGCCTTCAGACTCAGGCGTAAAGTTAGCCTGTATCTGTCATTCTAGGACCATCTCAACTAAGCCTAAATTTACTCATAACTGGAGATATAACTCTTCTCAGTTGCTACATCTAATAAAAGCTCTTTGCCAAGATGGAGGAAGGTTTATGGACTATACCAGTGGGGAGAGAAGCTGTATCCTTAGAGGTTATAAAAGATACTGTTAAATGCTAGGGTTATAGAGATAAGAAAAAAATAATTGTCAAAAAAAAAAATTGTCCCTTTCCTCAAAGAGTTTACAATTTAATAAGGAAGATACAGATATATACAGGTAAACATGTAAGTATGATTTAAAGTTAATATGACCATTTAAGTAAACTGTTATGCAAGCCATGTATACAGTATTATAATCGAGGCAAATACAGATAACATGTTGATATGTCTTAGGTTTCTTTAAGCTCTTTTTCTTCCTCCCCCAATGTAGAATACTGAGAATAGGACTGGATTTGGAGTCAGGATTGTGTTGCTGTTGTCCATTCATTTTGGTCATGTCTGACTCTCTTTGACCCCATTTGAAATTTTCTTGGCAGAGATGCTAGAGTGGTTTGCCATTTCCTTCTCCAGCTCATTTGACAGATGATGAAATTGGGGCAAACAAGGTTAAGTGACTTACCCAGGGTCACACAGCTAGTAAGTGTCTGAGGTCAGATTTGAACTCATGAAGATGAGTCTTCCTGATTCCAAGTCCAGTGCCAAAAACCTGCACTCAAATCTCAGCTCTTCTGGGATTTTTTTTTTTATTTTAACAAAGATTTACTATCTTTGTAACTATAAACAAGTCTTAAACTCTTTGGGCTTGAATTTCTCCAACTTTACATTGATTGGGTTGGACTAGAGAATCTTCAAAATGCCTTTTAGCTTGAAATCCTTTCATCTTTTTTTTCTGTATATTTTGTTGCATTATGTAGGGTTACTAATTTATATTTGTGAATTAATGTCGATTGAACTGTTGCTTTCAAGAAAGTAACTATTCTCTCAAATTTATTTGAGATACTTTTCATATGTCTTTTAAAAAAAAAAGACGTCTAATTATTCTAGTTTTTCTGTACTTGACTTCATAATCTTTGTTAGAGAGTGGACTTTAGGATAGAGCCTTTGTAATTCTTTCCTATGAGTCCATTCAGCGAAAATTTATTAGGCACTTACCATATTTACTAAATGTTTATTGAGTAGAGTTCAGTGTGTTAAGCATGGTACAGTTTGTAAATGTAAATAAGGTTGGGCCCTTCCATAGAAGCTTTCAAACTAACGGGATTTCTAGTCATGTTTTCATAGAAATACATTACAAATTATAAGTAGTTAACACAGTCAATAAAGTGCTTAGAAAGCAAGTGATCATTTCCTTTGGAAAGAAGGTGGGGATCAGGGAGGGCATGAGGAAAGAGGTGCCATTTGATAATATAACCTTAAAAGATGATAATAGGGTTGTAGAATTGGAAGGCACCTTAGAGGTCTTTTATTCCAACCCCACTATTTTACAGATGAAAAAACTGGGACATCAGAAAGTTAAATGACTTATCTATCACCCAGGTATTTAGTATTTGAACCCAGGTCATCTTCATTCCAAACCCAACATCCTTTCCACTGTACCATCCTCCAGATTTTGGAGTCATGATGTCAGCAGACAGAGATGGGTCAGGAAGAAGAGGGCATTCTGAATATAGGAATTGTCAGCAGAGGTACAAAGGAAGAGGAATGCTGAATGTACTCAAGGAATACATTGCATTTTATCTGAAATTTAGAGTAAATGAGGGGGAACATTGTAAGATAAGTTAGACACATAGATCGTAGCCAGATTTGGATGTGTGTTGAATGCCAACTTAAGGATTCATGCCAGGGGACCAACAAAACAAGTGTACCTTGTTCTCTGCAGTAACTCTCTTCCCTCAAATGTGCATCTCACTTGAATTGTAAATAAAGCAGTATTTTAAATGTATGAGACTGGATACCTTTTTTAATCTCTTTTTGAAACAGAACAC